TTCCCTACAATGTGACTCAAGAGTCTAAGACCATAAATAACATTGACTATCTTGTTATGTTAGGATTTTTCTTTGCATATGAGTAGCTCTGTTGCAAAGAGCTGTTGTCATTTTCAACTTTACCTAGGAGATCTCGTGATTTTTTGACTCTAGGTTCGTCGATGTCAACTTTCACCGATTGATTTATAATTAGGGAAATGATTTCTCTAGAGTTGACCTATTTTATAGTTATTACGTCAATTTTTAGCCAAAAAATTCTTTTATATGTTTCCATTAATTAATTCATTTTAAGGGTGAGTTCCCTTGATTTACTTGAGATGAGTTTTCTGAGTCTACTTTGATAACTTGTCGTTGTACGCAAGTTGTTCTCTTTATAACTAAATTTTTAACGCTCATTTCCTTTTATTTTTTCTTTAAAAATTTAGCGAGTAATAATAATGAAAATAAAAAACATTTTTGGCAAGGTTTAAGATATTCCTATGTTTTGAGAATTTCTTTGCCTGTATTCTTGATGATGAAGGATGTTGATGGTTGAAGGATGCATCGATGATTTTTCCTTGTCGAGTCTTCTTTGCATTTCTTTGTGGTTTCAAGTCATGAACCTACTTGAATATCTATGTTTAGCATCTAATCTCAGGTAACAAGTTTTGGATTGAAGCAGAGCTCAGTCTCTTACTAAGAACTTAATAATGTCATGATATGTTGATATAGTTGCACGAAAGATGTTGAGTAGTAGCCACTCAAATATCACATTATAAGTTGTAGTGGTGTCAACTATGATAAATTTGGTCATATCATTGAATTGGTGGTTCCCTTCTTCCCATGTGATCAGAAAAAAATATTATTCCTTCAATTTCACTTCTTTAGCTAGAAAATTCATATAAGGTGTTTATGTTTGAGATAGGCTAGTTCTTCAGTCTCCATCTTCCCAAAGAAACTTTTGAAGATGATACTGACAGAGCTCCTTGTGCTAATCAATATGTTGCTAATTTGGTAGGTTGCGATCAACATCATGATCTCACATCATTGCAAGGATTGCCATCAATGACTAGTTAGCTTTAGAGAATGCAATCATGACAACTTTAGCGATGAGTGCCTGCCCACACTATAGTAGTTGAGTTCATTTCCTTAACCTTAGTGGTTTGAGGCTAGCTCAGTGCACTGCTTTTTTTCAGATCCTCCCAAGATTAAGAGTTCAATTTCGACAATGTGAATTACACGTATCAAGCCGATTCACTCCTACAAAAAGCTCTTTATTTGGTCTCCAACATGGGTTGGCCAATTAAACTCTTTTAATTTCTCGATTCTGATAAATTCTTCTTCTAGGTTTTTTATTTGATGACAAATGCCATGTGCTATAGTTGTGATCTTGATAGAAGGCATAATACTTCTTCATCGGTTGTGGGTGCCTAAAGTACTTGTTCTGAATGATCTCAATTATCTCATGCATGGTACCCACAATGCGATAACTGCAGGGACATGGAGTAGGTGGTGGCTGCGGCGAGCTTCCATCCTTCTAGGGTCATTGCATTTTCAAATTGCACCCGCTTCATTGGTGATGTGTTTTTAATGGGGGATAAGATGATTGCATAAGCCAAAGATATCAGTGTGCGGGGCAATTGTGCAATCATCTAGGGTCAATGCATAAGTCGTCAGTGTGCGGGGCAATTGTGTTTTCGGGGAAATGATCTAGTCCTATCTTCTCATGTTTTTGAGGGCAGTTAGAGGACGCAGCTTCTGCTTCATTATTATGTTCTTCTATTTTCACATGTGTATTGGTGAGCTCCAACAGCTGACCATTGTTCTCGATTGCTATAGGCTGAGTGTGCAGCAGAATGACACTTCACGAAGGCCTTGGGTTAGGGCGACTTGAGCCATAGCCCGCTCTAGGTTTTTAACTTTGAGCATTTCCCTCTATAGAATCTTGTAAAGAACTTATTGAGCGTCTTGCCATGCTCTTTGTTCAATCTCAATAAAACCTATGAGTTCTTCAGGGGATTATGAGTGAACATGATCTTGAATTCAGCAAATGATGTGATCATACCTATTCATAGGAGCCATGTTTTTTTCTTATATACATTTCTTAAAGTTTTAAAAAAAAACTCACTCTATCTTTAGTTATGAAAATGTTTGAATTATTGTAAGATTGTCTATTTTTTGCGTAGCAAGCAGCTACTTTATCATTTTCATGCCTATAGACCTATTTTATATTCTTACCTTTTCTTTCGTACATTCTCCCTTTTTGATTTTTTTTTTTTTTTTCAAATTCCAGGACAACTTCAGGAAGCAAAGGGACTTCATAAGGAATCTTTAACATCATATTCTAAAGCTCTTGATTTGGAACCAACACATGTTCCAAGTTTGGTTTCTACGGCCATTGTACTCAGACATTGTGGCGACAGGCCATTTGCCGCCGTAAGAAGCTTCCTAACAGAGGCATTGCGTCTTGATAGAACTAACCATGTTGCTTGGTTGAATCTCGGTTTACTTTATGAAGCTGAGGGTGCTTCGGCTGTCGAGGCTGCCGGTTTCCAGGCAGCTGCCGTTCTCGAAGAGTCAGCACCAGTTGAACCTTTTTTATGATCTCTGGATCCAGCCAAAGGTTTTTGTTTTCAAGCACTTGTGCAAATTACAATAATACCCTCCTATTCTTTTAGAGAAAAGTTACGTCATGACTTGTAATTTCGTGGAATCCTCAGAATGGTATCACACACTATGAATTATAATTTATCAAAAAAGTTTATTTTTGTTCATCATTCTTCTTTGCTTTCATTTTGTTCATTTAATGAACTATTAATTCATGTGTTTAGAAATTTTCTATGAATAGAAACCGGGGTATTTTCTTGAAATTCAAAGATTTTCAAGCAGGAATCTTTGGATTTATAAAAGAAAGGTGATCTCATAAATATTCAAATAATGTTCTTGTTAAATCCTCACATCATAGCTTAGCCGTTTCTGAAAGAAGTTTTAACTGTCTACTTACAAGACGAATCCTTCTAGGTGGAAGTTATTTATGTTAAAATTAAGGAAGATTTTCATACATGCCATATGTATTTACATATTCAACGCCTAAACTTTAATTTTTACATATATGTGACCTTACCTATGCATGTAAGGGTGTATTTCATTTTTTCTAAGTCAAAATAGTAGTATTTTTTAATGTGATATGAATGATTTTGGTGGTATAAATATAAAAGTAAGGTTTAGGTGTTATATATGTAAATATGCAGGAATTTAGTGGTCTGTATGTAAGTGCCCCTGGAATTAAACAGCACTTGTTATCCTATGATTAATGGAACCTATCATTTTAGGGTTCCCTTAGATATCCCCAATCTGATTTTCCCTTACATGTTATGATTTTTTATATGTAGAATGTTTTCTTCAAATGTTCTTGCCTTAGATTTAGAACTAATGACTGCATTTTATACTTATGGAGTGTCACCTCTGATATCTTTACCTTAGGTATAGAATTAATAACTGCATTTGATGCTTTTGAGAAGCATCAAATACCATATAAAATTTGATATTTTACTTGGAATTTTCCTTCTTCAATAATTTAGGCGTTTAGGTTCACTTTTGATTTGTTTTTAAATTATTTTATTATGTTCTTGCTTAAAATAAATTTTTTTTGGAATGTTATTACTTATTTAGTTGTTTTTAAAACCACTGAAAATAATTTTGAGATGTTTTGAGTGTTTTATACAAGCTAATTTATTTTTGAAATAAAAAATAAAAATATATAAAAAATACACTAAACAAATATATTTTTAAAATAAAAACTTAAACAAAATTAAAAGTGATCACAAACGAACTCTTAGTTGACATGAAATTGCATAAAAAAGGTAGCTAAATTAGTGACATGGTTGCCACAACTTGGCTTAGGAAAAAATGCTGGTTAGAGTATCGTTTAATCATGAGTTTGAACATAACTTTGATGTGTTTCCTAAGTATTATGAGCATATTATAATAGTTTTGCTTTGTGACTTTTCTAAACTTCACATTTGCGGCAGACTCCTGCAGGTACGTCCCGAGTCTAATAATATTTATGCTTTTCTACTATGTTTTAGCCGTAACTAGCAGTATGTATATTTGTTTGCATGTTGTTCTGCATTTATCTTTCATGGTGTAAAATTCATAGTTTTTTGATATTTTGGGTAAATTATGTTCTCTAAATGTTTTTTTTAACGGTTAGTGTATTTTTCTTTTATGAGAAACAGTGTGAGCTGGCAACTTTCTTAAATGGGACATCATGGTATAATCAACTGTAGGGGTGGCCTCCACAAGCGTATCCTGGGTAGGAGCATCCTGTGGGGGTGCTGCAGGTTGAATAGGACTAATGGACTGTGGAGTCTTCTCCAGAGGTGTCGTACGAGGTGGGAGTATTTTGCCACTCCAAAGGTTAATTTAGAATATATCCTTTGTAGAAGTTGTAGCGGCATCTAATAATTGTTCCATGACCTTTGCGGCATCTTCTTGAGATCCTTCAGAGTCGGAAGCTTTTACCTTAGTTTAGATAGAATCTTCCGAACATTTTTAAGATCGAGTTTGAAAAATGCGGGGAAAGGAGGACTTTTTACCATGAAGAGATATCTACAAGTGATCTTCACTTAGAAGGGTGAGTTTGGTGTTTTTAATCCTGAATATAAATTCATTGAAACCATGACAAATCTACCATGAAACAATCAATCTTTTTATAGTTCAGTTGGCCTTTTGTCACAACCAGCTTTGCTACCATTGCATTGTATCCATATTTTTCACTATATCTTTTCATATTAGTTTTATCCGTTTGCATGATTTTTGGACCCTTTTTTTTTGGAAGATTTACATACATACCACTCAATTCCTATGTATTTACATATCTAACACCTAAACATCAAGTTTTATATTACATCTTTCCTATAAATGAAGAGGTGTATTCACTTCTTAGAAGTTAAAAGGATTTGTATTTTTTATTTGATATGAAAGATTTAGGTGGTTTAAGTGTGAAAAGCAAAGTTTAGGTGTTAGATATGTAAATACCTCGGAATTGAGTGGTATGCATGTAAATGCACCTTCCATTTTTGGTCTTGCATTGGAAAACTAAGCCACCTAATTCTATTTTCACCATCTTCTCTGTTGCTCTAATATAATAATTTATTACTCAATTTTTTTGTTGTTTTAACCACACATTCTTCTATAACATTCCTGTCATGCATAACTCAGTTTTATTGTTAATAGTTTTCTTCTCACGCAATATTTAGTTCCTTAAATTATATTTTCATAAACTATACCCTTGCATATGGTACTCCTAAGGAAACTTTTATTTGGAAAATTTATATACATACCATGCAATTCTTATGTGTTTACATATCTAAAACCTATAGTTTGATATTTTTATTTATAACGCTTTGGTGTCATAAACCTAAGCATGAAGAGGTTTATTTCCTTTTTAGAATGGCATTGATGGTGGTCTTTTTGATATAATGCTAAAGATTTGAATGATATGCTTGTAATTATGGATGTTTAGATGTTAGGTATGTAAATACATAAGAATTGTGTGGTATGTATGTAAATGCCTCTTTTTTTTTTTGTTTCTTGTCGGCTTTTAACTAAAGACATGCATATTAATGGAACCTCCAAGTGCTACATGAAGTGATCCGCAATTTTACATTAAAAAGTCGATGAAATGTTAATTGATGCACGCAATTGTTCTTCTATAGTTGTGTGTAAAATCATTCTTATGCTTTCACTCGTGATTCTTATGATGATTTGTACCAATTCTACAATAAATAGTGGTGCAAGCTTAAATTTTATTTTTATTATGAAAATTTTACGGTTTTAGTTAAAGCCTGATGTAGATGGAGTTGCATTAGATGATACTTTGCTTTGGAGTTTTCTATTCAAATTTTTGTGATGCTTTTTTATCTTCATCGTTTGTCTTATTTTGAAATTTTTAATTTTAGGAAGATTCACATACATACTAGTCAATTCCTACGTATTTAGATATCTAACACTTATTCTTTAATTTTTACATACATGCCACCTTACGTATGCCTGAAAAGTTGTATTTCACATTTTAAAGTTAAAATGGCGGTATTTTACTATTTTTGATGTGATATGAAAGCTTTGGGTAGCATAAATGTAAACTGCTTAGTATAGGTGTTTGTAAGACTCGAATCTTTAATATTTACTTTTACAGCACTGGTGTCTTAAATCTATGCATGAAAATGTGCATTTCACTTTCCAAAATTTAGTGATAGTGTTGTGAATATTATGTGATTGATATTTACTTATGAACTTGATCTTCATAGCACTCAAATCTTATGATATTAAAGATACTCATAAATTACATATTTATATTCATAAAACTCAATTCTTTTATATTTATTTGTATAACACTGGCACCTTAACTCTTTCCATGAGTGTATTTCACTTTTAAAAAGTCATTCAGTCGGTTCGGATGGATCGAATTGAAAGTTTTACAAACTGATATGAATCAAAATTCATAAATCAATCAACCGAACTAAATAAATCTTCAAAAGTACCGAACCAGTCAACCAAATTTTAATTGAGTTTGATCGGTTCGGTTCCGTATAAATCGAAATATATATACTTAATATATTAAAAATAAAAAATCACATACAAATGCAATGAAATAATTACAACAAATCTTATTTAATTGATTAAAATAATATGATTACAAAAAAATTAAGTTGCAAAAACAAAACTAATGGTTTAAAATTCTTGGAATCATTTTCAATTGGTAAAAATAAGTTATAACTTAATCTAAAGAAAAAGACGCGCAACAATGAAATTTTTGAAACTATAGAGATAATGAGATCCTTGGTAATGTGGGGACTCCAACTTGTTCTTTGCTCGAAGAATAATTTTGATTCGTTGAACAAAGCAACTGGGATTGGATGTGGGCTTAAATCTGCATATTGATCTTTGCTTGGTAAAATCTTCTTCATGTAACTTGCCTTTCAAGTTGATCCTGCATTTTCAATAGAGGCAAATGAAAATTATAAAAAAGAATTGGTTACTCAGAAGCAGATTGTCATATAAAAAGATTGATGGAGGAAGAATCTACTGCAAAAACTAAAGTAAATGATATATTTAGAACACCTAGAATGTTTACATGCTTCAGTGCTTTTATTATCGTTACAAGACACTTGCGTTAGTAAAGTAGGCTATCAAAATTCAATGATATAATCATATAAAAGCTCATGGCCCATCAAACCATAAATTGAAACTCCATCCAAAGGCATCAAAGCATCAGAAGAACTTCCTAGAATCAAGTTGTAACATCCTGATTTCTAGGAAATAAGCATGGCCAACCAAATTCTAAGAACAAAACATCAAGAGTAAATCTGCTCTTCTGAATTATCATAGTATCATTGTATCTGACAAAAAACTAACTGAAATTTGAAAGACAAAGAGCAGAGTAGAAAGTAGAAACCAATGCTAGCAAAGACAGCCCAAAAGACCATAAAGCAGAGAGTATATGTTCTTCATTCAACTATCCAATTATCTGTACTTATCAAATAACATAATGAAATAAGAGTTGTAGAAATTAGAGATTATACCAAGTAAACCTGTTGAAGCAAACACGACTAGGAAGAAAAAAAGAAACTAGATGAATGGTTGAGCCAACCAAAAAACCTGCTCCAATAATGTAGTCCTATTGGATCTACCATATAGCAAGGTTTGTCTGTTAAAGAAGTAAAATCAAGTGTCTCATACTACGAGCTGCATTGATGTACCATATTTCAATGTTTGCCTGTTAAATTTAGTCTTTTTGCTTTTGGTTTTTCACAAAATGTTAGCTGTGAAACTGCCAGGAGGCAGGAGCATTATGATTTGGCCTTATTTTTAGGGGCATTTACATACATACCACATATTGCTTGTGCATTTACATAAATTCCATATTTGCATGTATATCATATCATAACCACTTCTATGCTTGCATATCTATAAGTTTAATATCTCAACTAAAAATTTACCAAATCAAGCATCAATCAATTCCATATTTGCATGTGTATCATATCATAACGGATTCCAGATTTACATGTATATCATATTATTGTCAATAAGGTTCTTGTTACCAAGACTAATGCTCTTTGTTGGACAAACACTAATCATTAAGATTTATAATTATTATTATAAAAAACAATGATATACACCATTATTATATGCCCATTTCATCACAGCAGCAAGTTTGTGGATGCAAGGCATATGCACATGTATAGCATATCTTAAGCATGGATGGAAAGCCTATTCACATGCTTAGTTCAATGGAGATTGTTCCAAGAGCATTTACCCAAGTACATATTTTTCATTGCTGGCAAACTTTCAGCATTTACCCATTCATTCATACACAAGCAATACAATCAAAATTGTATGCATCAGCCTTACAAGTTACAAATACAATGAACCGAATAAATATAAGTTAGTATGCATCAGCTTTACAAATAAAATGAACTCTTACAATAAAAACAACAATGGAACGAATGCATTAGCCTCCCAAATACAATGCAAAGAGTACAACAAAGAACAGGGAACAAAACATTCTAGCAAAATCTTCCAGCCACAAAATATACTAGTTCTGATTAAAAATAAAAAACGCAAGTCAAAGTTTCCAGCCTCTCAAACAGAGACCCTAAAACAATCAATACCTTACCAAAGTGTTGAATCTGTTGTAATCTTCGATAATCTATAATAGATAATAAAGAAGTAGAGTTAGTATTAATTTCTAAAAAAAAAATGATAAATAAAAAATCTTAACTAACATGTTACATGCATCAATTTTATCCACATCACGAATATTCTCCTTAATATTGATAGAGTCACTTCCATTTTGCTCTCATCCAATCTTAAGTGCGAACTAGAGCTTGCACAATTTTTGTAAACAATGAACTCCTAAAAGCATCAAGAACACGCTAAATTTAGATTTAGATGCTACTGTAGATATTCGAATTGTTAGGATGTCTCTAGCCATTTGAGAGAGAATTGGAAATCGCGGTGTATTAACCTTTCACCATGCCAAAATATCAAAACCTTCTTGCATAGTCTTAGAATCTTCAGCTAAATATTTTTCTAAATCTATTTTGCTATCAAGGTTTTCCCTCCCACAATTATGTCGTCTAAACTTTTCAATTGTCTTATATTTTCTTTCTCCATCTTTTAATTCACTATGTTCAACTACTAGAATTTGTTTTATCTCATTGTTGTTCTCATCACTACTTTGACCAAATGCCTTCATTTTATAGTCATGAACATATCATAACAACACGAACTTATTAATTGTGCTAACACAACCCCCGCAAGACCTTTATACATTTCCATGACTGCAAATTCAATGTATCTTAACTTAAATTGAGGATCTAGAATAATTGTAATATATATAACAAAATTCATCTTATCAATAGAACCCCAATATTTACCAAATTTTTGTTTTATTTTTCTTAGCCATGTGTTTAATTTCAAGTCCTTTGTCCAAATCCCCTTTCTGAAGCATGCACAAAACTTCGACAATTTCATGAAAAAATAAGTTTGATGTGCCATACAATGAGTCGGATATACTTAAAGTTAGTCTTCTTATGATCTCCCAATCAATGTCACGTGGAACCACATTTAGTCTGTGACTCTCTTCATCATCCTTCTCAAGTTCAACTTGAAATTGAGGGTCAATCACTTCATAGCACTCAAAGGCTCTCAAATTTCAGCGTTGAATTCAACATCAAATATGTTCAATTATATCTTGTAGGCAAATCCAAGTACAATAAACTTTTACTTTTAATTTTTTTTATTCCAATACATTCTTTAAACTTCTGAAGACGGGCAGGAGATTGCCTTATAAACCTAATAACAACTCTTATACGATGTACAAAATAACCCACCTCTTTGATCCCATCTCGAACAATTAAATTTATGATACGAGCGATGCATCTCATGTGTAAGAACTTACTATCAAGGATACTCCCACCTCTCTTACAATTTTTTTTTTTTTGCAAATGAGTGATGATGCCATCGTTGGAGCTTGAATTATCAATTGTAACTGTAAAAACTGCATTGATCCTCCAATCAACTAAGCATTTTTCAAATTCTTGCTGAACAATTTCTCCTCTATGACTATATATTGGGCAAAAGTTAATTCTTCTTTTGCCTAATTTCTAATCATCATCAATATAATGCACAGTAAGACGTAAAATTGATTCTTTGAATGAAAGTCCAATGTCAGTTGTTAAACAAACTCTTTTACATAATTTCTTAAATTTTTTTTTCAAAGTTTCCCTCTCTTCTAAGTAAAACTGAAAACAATCACGAGTTAGTGTCCATCGAGAAGGAATTTGAAACATTGAACAACATTTTGAAGTAAGATATTTGAACTCGTATCCTTCAACATGTTTAAAGTTTAATTCATCTACGATTACTATGACTGCTAAAGATATTCTAATAATATTTTGACCAAATCTCCATGCCTTATAGACTTGCTTTTCTTCTTTTCATCAAATAATTTGATATGGATGCATTCAAATCTCCAACAGAATTAACTTGTTCGGTAGAGTCATTAGACATTTTTTGTTTAGAAGAATGCTTTGGAGATTATGAGGGTATAACTACATGTGCAAGAAGAAATTCAGAATTCCCATTAAATATCTAATTTGCACTCTATATTGAAAAACCTTAAAAAATAGAATATAATTGCATATGCATAAAATGAGGGTGTAACTATACAATACGTAAATATCCAGTTTGCACTGAAGAACACTAAACTGTAAAAATAAAATCGCTCAATATACCCAAACTACTAAAGGTTATATTGGGCTAACGTCACAAGCCGGCTTCATATTGACAACATCCAGTTTGCACTCAAGAACTCTTTTATTATGCATGAATAAGATGTAAGAATTCACCAAAGAGGTAAAACTGCTTGCATAACTTCTCAGATTTAAACAAAACTGCTTGCATATCACCAAAGAGGCAAAAGAAACCCATAGCTATCTTTAATATGATCTTTATCACGATAAGTTGAGCAAAATAAATACAAGAAGAGGCTGCTTGCATAACTTCGTACTTATATGATCTCTAATATGTTCTTTACCACCATCTAGTAGCAAAATGGAGAAAACGAACCAACCCTAAAATGTTAAAACAAGATATCCTTTTGCATAAGTTCATAATGAAAATATCCAATTTGCACTCAAGAACCCCAAACTATAGCAACAAAATCACCTAAAATACTAAAGAAAAAGAACTACACTAGTAGCAGTAACAATAAAACTCTTAAGCTATCTGCTCTATTTGTTCCCATTAAGGCAACAAACTTGCATTTACGGGACAGAGTTCCGAAAGACGAAAGAAGTTTGAAAACACAGATAGGTGAGATTCGTGAGAAATAAGATGTACAACAGGATCAAGACTCTTCAGGCCTCTGTCACTTCCCCATTTACACCTTTTATGACACCTCTGCTCAGGCCTTGTTGAATCTTCACCCTTACACCAAAGAAGAAATGCCTACTAATCGAGGTTGGAGAGGGATCAGGGATGAGGTGAGTTAGCAGCAGATGAATGGAAGCTTCAGACACTAGAAGAGTGATGACCAATGGAGGGATGGGGAGAGCGGCGCATTCTGCGCAAGGTAGGGAATGTATCCCTAAGTAAAAAATCACCATTCAGTGAGTTCACTACTTCCGCAGTTCCGCCTATATATACTCGGTTTTCGGTTGGTTCGGTCATCTTTTTTAAAACCCAAACCCTAAACCGTTAATCAAATGATACTAAATTAAAAACTGTAATCCAATCCAAACCTTTAATTTAAAAACTGAACCAAATCAATACAACGATTCGGCTTTTTGGATTCAACCAAACATTGCACAACCCTAGTGATAGTGTTGTGAATATTATGTGATTGATATTTACTTATGAAATTGATATTCAAAACACTCAAATCTTATGATATTAAAGATACTCATCTTTCATATTTATATTCATAACACTCAAATCTTTGATATTTACTGTTATAACACTGGTATCTTAAATCTATCCATGAAAATGTGTATTTCACTTACTAAAAAGGTAGTGATACTGCTATGAATATTATGTGATTGATATTTATGTTTGGAATTGATATTCATAACACTCAAATCTTATGATGTTAAAGTTATTCATAACTTTCATATTCATATTCATATTCATAACACTCAAATCTTTGATATTCGTAACACTTAAATCTATTATATCACATTTAAAAAATACAAAAGAATTGAACGGTATATATGTAAATCTTTTTTCTAAAAAATTTTATAGTCTTTCCTCTTTTTTTTTTTCTTTACTGCATTATCTTCTAAAAGCTGTTATACCATTACTACTGTTGTTTACTTCTAGGCGACTCTAATGATGCTGCAATGACGAGTAGACTGGAACAGGTAAAAAATAGTAGCGCTACAGAAATTGGAGTTGGTGGAACTTCTCAATTTGTTGGTATGTATGAGGTGTATCAATATATGCATGAATTCAGTTCGCTGAACCTTTTAATTCATATCACTATTACAGTCTGCTGGTGCATAATAGCAAATTCATGCAAAAAGTTTATTTGTTTTACTAATTTTGAGAAATTATTTTACAGTATGTCATAATTGCTATACATTCTTTCATATAAAACATTATTTGGCGAGAAACATTCCTTCATTGAAATTCATTTGGTTGTATTGATGTTGAGATCTCTAGGCTGTAATTAGCTAGTATTTCAACTTTTGTCTCTTTTTTATTATTTACTGTCTTATTGGTACTATTTTCATATATAACTTTAATTAAATAATGTTAGTGCTAGGTAATGTTTATGGATTTACCTTGTTCTCATATTTTAATGGTTTTTCTGTAAAAAGTTGTTTATGTTTGCTAAATAACATCTGATACTCATCCTTGAGAAATTTAGTAGATTTAATCTAGCTCTATTTACTTGTATAATATTAAACTTGCAATCTTACCAATGCTTGTTAGATTCTTCTCCCTACCATTTTGCTTGAGTTACAATCTTCTTTTACCCCAATATAATTTTACTTCATTTATCTAAGTTTTTTTTTCTTTTTGAGGCATAGACTTGAATAGTCGCCAATCATTTTATGATTTGTATTTGCGGTTTTCTACCATCATCTTTTGTTTTTTTCTTTCATTTATTGCAGGAATGTTGCACCAATCTAATGGCTAAAACACTGCACCATCTTCATGCGCTGCGAATATCTTATAAAATTTTAATCAGGTTTCGATTTCTCATTTGCTAATATAGAAACATAGTTTTTGTGAAAAGTGTTGAAATGTTCGCCCAACTCTTTGTAGGTAGCTATTTTAGTCTCATGGTCTTTAAAAGAGTCAATTTAGTGTTCCGACTTTTTTAATAGAGGCTAAAATAGTTCTTTTTGTGATTTATTTTAGCTCATATTAGAAGGGTCTAGAGTCTAATTTAATACTTTCATAGACTCCGGGATTAAAACAGCCCTATGTAAATAGTTCGGGATTATTTTGACACGTTTCTGCAATTTTTTTTTTTTTTCATATTTTATTGTACTTAAGTGCAATCTTTCAGTTATAGGACTCCATGCTTCAAAATGCAACATTCAATAAAACACAAATAGCATGAAACTCTTGGCCCCGACACTCAAACATGCAGTACAGTGATTGGAAATAAAGTGAAAAAATCCTAAAATGTTGGGTTTCGGCACTCACCCTCAAAAAATAATGTTAAAATAGCTTGTAAACTGCTCGTCAAGTGTGTAAAAATACAGTTGTTGCATATGGCAAGATATAACAAAATGTTGAGAATGGATTCATCCGAGTTCAGAAAAGCAGAAGTTTGTAGCAGAATGAGAATCACCCATGGCTTCTTACATCTTTCCTCACCTTCTCAGTCTGTTGATTTTTTCTTTTGTTTTCAGGCGCCAAGGATGTAGTGCACTTGGATGAATGAGAATCTCAACAGAGGTAAATATTGCATTGTATGTTTTTTCTGGGGCAGTTGCATGCATGCCACACAATTCTTATATATTTGCATGTCTTAACACTTAAACTTTCATATTTACATGCATACTCGTTTGTCTGTAAGAGCACATAAGATATATCACTATTTATAATTTTTTGAAAGTGAAATACACATTTTCATCCATAGCTTTATAAACACCCTAGTGTTATTGATGTAACTATCGAATTTTCAGTATTTGATACCTCAATTTATAAAAATTTTGTGGTATGTATGTAAAATTATTATTTTTTAATATCAAACTTCTATGTTAAATTATTTCAAACATGCTTATATATCTTTAAATTATTTTAAACACATCATAAAGATTTTTTTTCCCTAAAATTAGATGGGTTTTTGTATTTATATATTTTGATTTAATTGAGGCATTAAAGTTCTATATAGATAAATATTAAATTTTAAATATTAGATAAATAAATACATAAATTAAGTTAACCCAATCTAAGACTCAGACAGGACAACTTTTATTGCTGAATTTTAAAATGAGTACAATCCCTCTGCAACAATGACGTCGAAAGCAATATAAGTATGCATGGATGGTAAACAAACACATAAACAGTAGAATGAAATAATACAAGTAGTGATGAAATAACAAATGTTGACTTAAAAATCAGCATGAAGTAACAATAGAGTTCTGGAGCAGGAAGAAATTGGTGTGACAGTCCAGGAAGGCTGTTGGAAATTTGCTGAAGGTGGGCAAAGGGAACTGGCGGCGGCAAGCTGAAGCTTAGGGGGGCTGACAGTGGAGGACGCTGAAGTAGTGCAGCCTAGAGGAGGGTGCTCCAAAAAGGATCTTGAGGGGCGGCAACCTGCTGTGGAGTGGTTGGGAGGCACGAGAAAGGAGTAATGGGGGGGGTAGGAGGGGGGAGCGACTACATGGAGGGAGAGAGCAGCTTGCCTGTGCCACGGGAGGGATCCGCGAATGCGGATGACTTGATGGGTGGGCGGCGGCAAGGGGGTGAGCAGAAAAGGAGGGTTTGCAATGCCTAGGCGCAATTGCGGAAAATTAGTAGAATTAACCGACAAGTTCAGGAAAAGGTTGGACCAACTCATTGTTGTGCGGTCCAATGGGCTGAGGGGATGAGAAGAAAAAGAAGGTTTTGCGGGAGATTAGTGCAGGAGGGGCGGGGAAGGAGGAGCGAATGCAGAGGGATGAAGATGAGGAGACGGGTGTGACATTAGTAGAATTAATCGACCAGTTCAGGGAAAGGTTGGACTGGACTGGTTGGAAAGGCTCACTGTTGTCTGGTCCAACGGGCTGAGGGGATGAGAAGAAAACGAAGGTTTGCAACTAGGTGCAATTGCAGGAGAGTAGGGCACGGGGGGCGGGGAAGGAGGAGCGAATGCAGCGGGATCAAGATGAGGAAACATGTGCGAAATTAGTAGAATTAATCGACCAGTTCAGGGAAAGGTTGAACCGGCTCACTGTTGTCTGGTCCAACGGGTCGTGGGCAGCCCGCCCCACGTCACTCTCCTGGGTTAGGGGAGCTTTGACGTTAGTTGTCGAAGCTTCAGGTTCCTCGTAGTATAGGGTGAGATTCACGACATTAAATATAAGAGTTGCCTCATGAGGGTGAGGGGATGAGAAGAAAAGGAAGGTTTGCAATGGCTAAGCGCAATTGCGGGAGATTAGGGCATGAGAGACGGGGAAGGAGAAGCGAATGCAACAGGATCAAGATAAGGAGATGGGTGCAAATTACTAGCATTAATCGACCAGTTCAGTTCAGGGAAAGGTAGGACTTGCTCACTATTGTTCGGTTCAACGTGCCGCCCCTCATCACTTTCCTGGGGTTGGCGGAGCTTTGACGTTAGTTGTCGAAGCTTCTGGTTCCTCGTAGTAAGGGGTAAGATTCGCGACATTGAATGTAATTGAAATTTTGGAGTTGCCTCGTGAGGGTGAGGGGATGAGAAGAAAAGGAAGGTTTGTAATGGCTAAGCGCAATTGCGGGAGATTAGGGCATGAGAGACGGGGAAGGAGGAGCGAATGCAACAGGATCAAGATAAGGAGATGGGTGCAAAATTACTACCATTAATCGACTAGTTCAGGGAAAGGTTGGGCCGGCTCATTGTTGTCCGGTCCAACGGGCTGAGGGGATGAGAAGAAAAAGAAGGTTTGCAACAGCTAGGAGCAATTGCGGGAGATTAGGGCAGGAGGGGCAGTGAAAGAGGAGCGAATACAACGGGATCAAGGTTAGGAGATCGGTGTGAAATTAGTAGCATTAATCGACCAGTTCAGGGAAAGGTTGGACCGGCTCACTGTTGTCCGGTCCAACGGGTTGAGAGGATGAGAAGAAAATGAAGGTTTGCAACGGCTAGGCGCAATTGCGGGAGATTAGGGCGCGAGGAGCGGGGAAGGAGCGAATGTAGTGGAATCAAGATGAGGAGACGAGTGCGAAATTAGTAGAATTAATCGACCAGTTCAGGGAAAGGTTGGACTTGCTCACTATTCTCTGGTCCAATGGGCTATGGGTAGCCCGCCCCACGTCACTTTCTTGGGGTTGGGGGAGCTTTGACGTTAGTTGTCGAAGCTTCAGGTTCCTCGTAGCAAGGGGTGAGATTCGCGACATTGAATGTAATTGAAATTTTGGAGTTGCCTGGTAGGTCAATTTTTTAAGTATTCTTATTGAGCTTCTTAAGTATGTGGAAATGCTCGTCGGCTTGGGATTTGAGTTTTTGTGTGCTTCCACAGGAAATCACTCCTTAAGGCAGATTCACGCGAGGTTTCTTCTTTAAAGGTTATCTTTTTTCTGTATTTGTTAGCCTATGCTTAATATTTGTGGTTTTGTTTAGAAATTGTTTCTCCAACTTTCTTGTCGAGTTGTTCGATTTGGTAGGCACGTTATGTAGCATCCTAGCTGGTATCTTTTGGGAGTAAAAGTGGAACTAACTCAAGGGGTGTGATTAGGTTGCGACAGTACACAATTTCGATTGGCGTGTGCCATGTGGTCTGGCTTATGGATCTATTGTAGACAAATTTGGCTTGAGCGAGAATGATGTCCTGAATGATGTCCTTTTTTTTTTTTCCAACGAAGAATTCAAGAGGATTCCTAAGGCTCCTATTAATGACTTCGATCTGCCCATCTGTTTGAGGATGTGCTGCAGAACTAAATTAGAGCTTATTTCCTAATTTACTCTAGAGGGTCTGCCAAAAGTTGCTCAAGAATTTAATGTACCGATCAGAAGTAATGGTGATGGGAATACTCTGAAGCTAAACAATCCCATGAAAGTATAGTTCAACAATATGAGAGGCATCTAATGTTCCGTGGAAAACGATGGAATGGGCCATCTTTGAGAAACGGTCAACTACGACCATGAGAGAGATTTTATTCCTTTGTGTGCGTGATAGCCTTATGATAAATTCCATGCTGACATTGACCTAAGATGCTTTAGGGACCGGTAAAGATGTGTACAATCCCGTATTTTGTTCGCGCGTTTTGGCGATATGAAAAATCTTACATTGTCGAATGCGTCTCTCCACATCTCGTGTTAGTGAGGGCAAAAAAAATGTTCTCTCGCGAGTGCAAGATTTTTATCTTTGCCAAAATGGTCGGCCAAGTTGCTAATATGGTTCTCCTAGATGATATCCTCGCGTAGTGAGTGTCGGGAAATGATTAATTGTTGTGGTTGAACAAGTAGTCGTCTGTTTTGTAGAACTACCTGTGATGTTTCTCCCAACACTATTCCAAGATTTACTGGAAGTTTTCATCTATCTCGTGCAAGTCTTTTATAAATTCAAAGCCTACCACGTGTGCTTGCAAGGATGTGATCCATAGGTGGCAACAGCTTAGAGCATCCGCGATTCAGTCTTGATTCTCGACTTTGTGTTTGAGTACGAATCGGAAGGAAGTTAAGAATTCTACCCAAGTAGCTTGGCGCCTTTTGAATTTATTCTAACAATTTAAAAATTTTAAAGCTTCATGATCCGTGAAGAGGGTGAATTCAGTTGTCAGTAGGTATAACAATTTCATAAAGTTCTTTGTCGTAGGTGGAGTATTTTTTTCGAGTCTCATTTAATTTTTCGCTAACATAAACAATGGGGTGACCACCTTGACTTTATACATCGCCAATGCTTGTGTCGGAAGCATCACGCTCAAATGGTTGGTTGAAATCATGTAGGGCAAGAACTGAGGCTTGAGTATCTTTTCCTTCAATATGTCGAAGCTGGTCTGGGTTGTGGTCTTCCATGTGAATTCTTTTTGTTTCAACAGCTCTGTGGGTGAGCGGTGATGGTGTTGAAGTTGCGAACAAATCTTCGGTAGATGGAAGTTTGTCCTAAAAATTATTGAAGCTGGGTGAAAGATTAATTGTCTCGATTTTTGTTGGGTCCAATTGTATCTCCGTGCAAGACATAATGTGGCCCAAAAAACTACTTTGTTTGTGAGGAAGTGACACATCTTGGGGTGGGTGTATATTTGTTCGAATCGTAAGACCTCGAATGCATCTAACAAGTGTTGCAGGTGATCTTCTTCGAATTGACTATAAACTAGAATATCATTGACTTGACCACCACGAATCTCTCAATATGGGCTCGAAAGACTTGATTCAGTAGGCGCATGAAGGTGCTTGACGTGTTGGGCAGGCTGAAAGGCATGAATGCCCATTCATAAAGACCATTTCGTGTCTTAAAGGCACTCTTCCACTTATCTCTTGGCCGCATTCTGATATGATGATGTCCACTTTGTAGGTTAATTTTTGAAAAGACAGTGGCGTTGTACAATTGATCTAAATGATCATTGAGTCATGGCATGGGAAAATGATATTTTATTATAATTTTGTTAATGACACGACTGTCAATGCACACATGTCAAGAGCCATCTTTCCTGAGTACTATGAGGGTGGGCACAACATACGGACTAGTACTTTCGCATACTAATCCTCTCTTAACAAGATCTCACACCTGAAGTTGGAGTTCTTCATACTTTGCAGGTCACAATCGATATGCGGGCCTATTTGGTAGGACTGTCGATGACGTGCTGGATTTCCCGAAGTGGAGGTAATCTGTTTGGGTGATCGTTAGTCATTAAGACTTGAAAATTGTGTAGGAGTGGTTTAATTTGTGTGGGTATCTCCTTATCCTTGTCGTTACCTTCTAGAAGGACTAGAGTTAGTGCTATCGGGGCTTTGCAAACATATTGC